AAAAAAAAAAAAAAAAAATACTGATTTCTATCTTTATTGCTAAAAAAAGAAAACTAACTTGATATTTTTCTTTTAATCTGGCCGCGGTAAAAGCACGGGATGCTATCAGCAGTTGTGATGATGTCAGTCGCATGTGATATGATATAACTAAATAATATACTGATTATTAAATGTATTCAGGATACATGGTATTTACTTACTAATTAGTAATGCTATGCAAAGATCAGGTGCTATTTTAATCCTGGGGTGTTGGTTGTTTTTGATTGATACATTTGGCTTGATTAATAAATTTTAACCAGCACACCAAACAAGTTTAGAATGTGTATTTAGGAATTTCTAAAATTTTTAGTAATTGCTTAAAATATTTTAGTTATAGAAGAATTAATTATATTTTGCATTATTATATTTTTTGTGATTTAGTACATCTTCGAAATCCTTTATACACATTCGCACTTGATCAATTAAATCATTTTATTGAAATACAAATTCATTAAATTATATTATGGTGTTATCATATATATATGTGCACACATGCGTGCGCGCGTGTGTGTGTATATATATATATATATATATATATGTGTGTATTTTATATTTTTACAAAGAATAATAAAGAAATATATATATACATATATATTGATGCCATGAGCTTAGCTTATATCATAATGTTTTCATTATTTATTTTTTTGTTTTAATGCATTCGCAAGATTGAAGTAAATTGTCGTAAAGTATAAGTATATTCAAGTAACTGTAGAATTGATTGATTTTTGAGAAAAATGGTGGATCTCAAAATATGCTTGAGGGTGCATAAATATTAAATTCGAATTCTAATTAAATGTACATATATCTTTTATATTTTTATTCTCTATATCATATATATATGGGAATCGTAAGAGAAAAATTTTAAGCATGAACACATGTATATGTATGTGCATATATTTTGGAATTATGTATTTTAATAACATTATGAGATAATTTGACTCATTTTCATTTCTATCTCATGATATAATTGTATATATGTGAACATGCCTGTGCTTTTTTGTCATGCTTGTATCCAACAGTGTGTCATATGTGATCGAAATTCTATTAATGCTTTGAATGGTTATCTTCAGTATTGTTTATTTATATAAATGATTAGTTAGCTTGCATTTTTTACAGTATTTATAAGAAGAAATGATTACTAAAATAAAAATATATAAGAAATAATAGAAAGATAATTTGATTAAAAAAAAATATATGAATATTCTATAAAAAAAAATTTAATTCAATACATATAGAAAATACTTAATATTTCAATTCAATTATAAAAAATACTAATATTATAAATAAATTCTACACTATTAGTTAAACAAAATTTTAAAGACTATTAAGATTTAATACAAATGATTTAATTGAAAAAAAATTAATAATAAATAATATGTTCTGAAACAATAAAAAAATTGATTATTCATGTTAAATAAAAAATGTATGCACAGGCGAGATTCACTATTGTAATTTTTTATGAATCTATTATTTTTTAATTTTAAGTTATTATTATGTACTATTAAACTTCAGTAGAATGGTAATAGATATAAATTTTAAGTTTTATATACCATTTAATAAGAAAAAATGTTATGAAAAATCAAATGCGTGTGAGCATGCTTTGCATATAAATATAAAATATATTTGATATCAATATTAGTTCTAATTTTAAGCATCCATAAAGCAAATTTAGAGAACCACCATAAAGTGGTAAAATAATGTCATGAAGCATGATAATCTTCTAGTATCAAAAATAATAATTATTTTAATTAATAATAAATCTTTTTGAGTATTTATGTTTACTTGTACATTCAATATTAAATTAAAATAATTGTTATAGTTTCATAGTTTTATTGTCTATATCTTTTATTAGTATCTTATTGTAGATTTATACAACTTTTTGTTTTCTTTTCTTTAAATAAAATCAATGTATAAATAAAATCAGTTATATATGAAATATTTTTGTTTGTATAAAATTTTAATTTTTCAAATTTCTTACATTATTATTTATATTGCATTATTACATTAATATAAAATTTAATTTTGAATTATCATTTTAACATTCCATGTTAAAATGTGTACATATAATGAAAATATATTATTTAATATTTTAACAAATTAACAATTTATATTAAATTTTTTTTAAAAATGTAATAAAATATAAAAATTTATAAATTAAAACATTCACTTTTTAAACTAATATGAAATAAATTGTAATGATGTTTATTATAATTATTGATTTTTTATTATAATTATCTCGTCTGTGCATTCATTTGTAATTATAATTATATAAAAATATATAAATATATGTATCTTGATTGTGAATGTTAAAATGATAGACATAAAATTTTTTTTGATATTTATATACATAATTATAAAAACAAATCCAGGAGTGTACTACAATAAGTTGCATAGTACTTTTACTCTCTTCTCAGCAACAGGAGCAAGACCCCACCAATTTGTATATTGCAAATCTGCCACTGAGCTTCAAAGAAAATGATGTTGAAGGTTTACTAGCTCAGTATGGACAAGTTATTTCAACGCGCATATTGCGCGATACTGCTGGACAAAGTAAAGGTGTTGGATTTGCAAGGTTAATATCTATTTAAAAGATAATTATTAATTGTTATTAATTATTATTATAATTATTAATATTTATATTACGTGTATTTTAGAATGGAATCTAAAGAAAAATGTGAACAGATAATTCAGATGTTTAATGGAAAAGCACTACAAGGTGCTAAAGATCCTTTATTGGTGAAATTTGCAGATGGTGGTAATAAGAAAAAATCATTGTACAAAAGTACAATATGGAGAGAAACTGGAGAGGTAATTTATTTATTTAAAAAATAATAGATGTAATATTTTCATGTACAATTTTAATATTTATAGTATATAATTTTCACAGAACATGACTTTGAATTATGATACAAGTGGTGTTGGTCAAAATGGGGTTGCAGCTACTCATATGCTACCTGCAGCTACTTTAACACAGTATAGTCGTCATTATGGTCAAGCTTTACCTGGTTACAGTGTACCAGGAACGCCTTGGGTGACTCCTTATTTGGTGCAGACTGCCCCTCCACATATGCAACAGGTCGACGTGAGTTTTTATACAAATTTTTTGTTTTCTTTCTCTTTATGCATCTTATTTATAATTTAATGTAAAAAATAATATTAATCTTTCAATATTATTAAAATTTCTAAGTTTTGATTATAATTATTATATAAAAATTTTTTTTATTATACTCCTTTTTGTATTAAATTTAAGATATCATTTTATACTGTAAAAATATTTAAATATTTAATAAGAATTTCATATTATAGATGATGCCATCAGCTGATCCCAGTAATCCACAATACAGTATGATTCCTCAACTTACTACACAAATGTCTACATTACATCTTGGCACTGGTTCCGTAAGTAATGTATTTTTATCATTTTTAATTTTTTTTCTTTATTAATTTATATTTACATTAATTTTTTTTTATATTTTATTTTTCAGTATATAGCAGCAAGCCCACATCCCTATCCTTATACTTATCCTCCTAGCATTATTCATACCATGCCATTGGGTGATTCTGAACAAACAAGCAATGCAGCATCTCCTGATGATTCTTACCAACAATATCAAGCTCAGCAGCCCAAGTAGGCTATGGTTTTTAGGTACAGTTTATAATACAGTTATATAATGATTTATTTTTTTATATCTTATATACTAAAAATGAATCAATTTTTTATTTTATATTATTTTAGATATGATTACATCGAGGGGTATATAAGTTAGGACAGCCACACCTGTTGATATGAAGGATTATATTAATGAAGAATAGATGAGACTAAATACATTACATAAAGTCAGATAAGATTCTTCCTCATGATAATTGACTTGCCAGCCATCTTTTATACATTTTATCCATCAGATAAATAGGTGAAAGTAGTTAATATTTTCCAACGATTAGAGAATGAATGTTGTCATAAAAAAGGGGTACGAGTGCTCGTGTCTACATTGTTCGGCACCAGCACGGCTCCATACGCTGTAATGCCAACACATCATTACGACAGTGACAAAACTGATATTCTGCGACGAACAGTTTAGTGTCAAGCTAATAGGCTTCCAGGATTAACTTTAGGTATTACATTTATTAAGGAGATGATAAGTTGAAGCTGAACGCTTGAGAGTGTGAATAAAATATTTTAACAAAAACTGTAAACTATAAAAGAAACGCTGCTCAGAAATACAAAGGAGAATTCTTCCCAAGAAGTAATAATAATAATAATATACAGAGAAAAAAAGCACTTCCAAATGCTAGAGTTGATAAAGAAAAATAAAATTCAGATTCAGTTACTTATAATCAGTACCTACTGGACTTTCGTGCCAGCTGGCTGGCCGGTGGCTGCGCTGCGAAGAGAAGAAGCTATGGATCAGTATCTCTTTTTCGAATAATAAAAAAAAGAGCTCTTTCTTAACAGCACACACCACCCCATCCACTAATTGCACCCTCATCAGATTATTTCTTTTTGTTTTCTTCTGTTTCGTTCAGACATTCCAAGCCAGGCACATATTGTATGTATGTATTGCCACGCGGAGATTTTTATCTACTTTTACAAGTACAGTTTTCGCGTTCTCTTTTAATCACGAATGAATATATTTTATGGACGAAAAAGAAATGAAGATTTTAAGAGAAAAAGAAAAAAATAAAGCTTTATTTCTAAAAGAAAAAAAAACTTCAGGATATATGTAATTATTGTAACAAGAAGGAAAGGAACATAGTACTTTTTAGAAGATTTATATTTATGAGTACAGTTACTACGAATCGATATCAGTTTTAATTGTACAGTGAATACAGATATTTTTTTTAGAATTGTGCCTTTTCAGACAAATCCGCTAGACAGGGATATGCTGAAAAATATTATAATATATTTTTACGTCGGTATGTAAATGCGAAACTTGAGCCAAATTTTGATCTTCTAGTTAAGAGAATATAATTGTTTTTACGTTGTAGCCACTTAAATATCACTACGTTTGTTTTTTGGTTACAAATTCGAATAGATTTTGTATGTGTATAGTTGCCACTAATGGGATTGATGGGCCGAAAACATCTGTATGGTCTATATGAAGTCTAGGAAGAAAAAAAAATGAAATCAAATGGCGGATCATTGTAAACCAAGAATAATTTTCACCGCCTGAAAGAAAATAAGAGAAACAGAGTAGGCTTGTTACAACGGAATATGATAGGTAGAGTATAAATTAATTTATTATATCGAAAGAACGAATAAAATCGTGTTACAAATGAAAACGAAAAAGATAATGGGATTGGAGCTGAACGATAGGCGAGAGGATTGAACGCGAGGAAACAAAAAGAAACGAAATAAAAATATAAATCGAGGATTTTCTATCTATATATATATCTCGAAAAAGAGAGAGAGAAAGATTAGAAAAAGAAAAAACACCCTTCTCTCCTGCGTTCCTCTAAGCCCGTTTTTACATCCGGTACAGTTTTCACGTTGTCTGACTTAGATCGAGTCGAGGAACGATTAGCAGAAAGCTTTCTACCAAATATTGCGAGCTTTGGGCTCGAAGTGGCGGGCAGGTAGTTAGATAGAGTTAGAGGCGATCGTAGCTATTATTATAATATTACAATAATATGCTGTATTATTATAATTAATGATTACTATTATTGACATCATCTAAAGTATGAAAGATTTTTACACTGTTGAGACTTGAAGTAAATAATATATTTAGTTTATTTTGGTACATCACGATTTGATGACAAGAGATAAAAGATGAAAAAAATGGTATGAGCTATTTTTTAAGAGACCGATTATTACTCGATTTGAGTCCATGCATTAAGAGAGAAAAAAAGAATAAGAGAGCGAGAGAACGAAAGAAAGAAAAGCGAAAAGGAAAACCTATTTGCGAGTGTGTAATTGTTTGCACAAGCGATTGTCACCACGACTGACAACAAAAATCACATGTGATTAAATAGTGAATTTTGAAGAATTTTACTAATAGACTTGTACTAAATAACTAATTATTATTGTGACGACCAAAACAAAGAAGAGCAGCATTTTTATAGTGCTGACCGAGCGGAAGAACGATGGTTCGGCTGAAAAAAATGCCAGCTCCCGCAGATACGGAGCCGCACTGGAGAGCAGGCAGAGAAGAGAAAAAGAGAGTGAAGAAGTCATGGATGTAAGAAGCAGAGTGAAAGAAACTTGAAAGGATAAATGAAAGTGCGTGAACGAAGAATAAAAAGAAAATATGTGTGAAAAGGAAAAAAAAATTTGGATGAGAGAAAAAAAGTAGAACGCGAGATAAGAGAGAAAGTAAAATGAGTGAAAGTGAGAAAAACAAGAATGAATGTATCGTAATCTATTGTATAGAATATGCGAAAAAAGAGGACACTGCGAGATGTGTAGTTAGTGTTGATTATGAATATATAGGTTAGGTACCATTTTGGATAGGAAGTAATCGATAAGTAATTAAGTTTAAATAGATAGTTAGTTGATAGTTAGGTTATAT